AATGACAAACAGTTTGAAATGATTTCATGACCAACACATTTTTAATATTTTAGTTTTAAAAATAATATGGCTGTTTTCTCGAATAATAGTTTCGCATACTTTTGCTATTTTTATCACATCTTCTGATGGAAAAATCAATTTTCCTCTACTTTTTAAAGTTATTAATATTGAATCAGTAGATTTAGCAGTTAAAAAAATAGAGCATGTATCACAAATATTACTTTGTAAAAGCTTTCTAATTACGAATCCACTGATGTATTTGACCACATCTTCGATATAAGAACTTAATGACCATAAGGTAGACAAGTAATCATGATCAAATACATTAGTACATATCGTATCATTGGCTTCCGTGAATATACCATCGCTTATTATATTTGATTTATTTGCTGATGATGCATATAAAATTTGCACATCATCTATTAGACAATTCCCTCTTTCAGAAGCTTCAATTTTATGTCTAACAAGCAGGCGCTTATAACTGCTTTCGAATTGTTTGGCATTAGGGTTGTTGTTGAAACCTCCTCTGCTACGTAGGGCACTAAAAAATGTTTCCAAGTGATCTTGGTTTATTTTGTACGTAAGTAAATATTTTAGACCTTTTTCTTTTAATATATCAAATAAATCAAATATATTTGTTAAGCAAATGATAAAACCCAAAAAGCCAGTCTTTTGATTACTCTTCAAAATCGAATCGTTTGGAGAATATTGCAATTGTTTTATATATTCTATAATAATCCCTGCGTAATTCTTAAGTTCATTATAATTTTCATTGGTAAGAGGCATATTGCACTTTTTTTTCTTACAGAATTTTGATCTTACATTTTATATGTCGAAGGCATCATTAAATATAGAACAAAATAAAGCAGTTTTTTTTGCATTTTTAAACTGATTAGGAAAGTATTGATTGCAAAATTTCAAAGCTGTACTAACACTATCACTGAGTGTTTGGGCAGCCAATTTTACGTTCATTTTCGAATTCTTATACAAGATGTGCCTTTTTGTTAGCTTTGTACCAGCTTTTAAACCTTCAGTTTCCTGTAATTTTTGTAAGGACACAATATTTTGCCAATCAATAATTTTGCCTTTATAATATAATACTGATTTATCACCTAGAGTGTTTCGCACTAATTTGAGCATGTGGCATGGATCGAAGAAGCAGAAAATTTTTTCTTTGTTATATTGTGAACAATATACGGCTTAAAATTGTTTCCCAATTCAAAATTTGCACCTAAAGCAGTGCACATGCTCAAATTAACGATTGCACCATCAAATGTTACCGAATGCAATATTACTCCAGTTTCATAAATAAATTCGAAACATTTTTCTAACAAACTGGCTCTTTCTTTACCATTTAGAGCATCGATCAAAAAATATCCAACGGGAACTTACCAGTAGTCATTCAATGCGACTACCATAAATACTAATGCATTTGTTGAGGAACATCTGTATCGTTACTCATATGTATACCTAAATCTACAAGTCCGTAATACCGTTTACCATCATATACTATGCCCTGTCGAATCGCAACTTCGTCTACTACTAAATTACAGAAAATCGGTGTTTTTGACTTAGAAACTTTACATTTTAATGCTTCAAATACTTCGTGAGTGAATCCAGGTCGACCATCTAATACCGAATACCACTTACGGATTGTTGAAAGGTCTGGAAGAAAATTTTTGAAGGTTTTACGTATATATTTGTACGCTTTGGGCGAGTAGAAGTTCAGCGTAAGGGCAAAAGCTCTTAGTTCTGCAGGGTATTTCTTTCTCGAACCTTTTTTTCGTTTCAAAATCTCATTTAATACTGTTGGAGCTTCAACCTAAATGTACAAATAAAAAAAGAAAAAAGATCGTGATGTATAAAAATAAAATCTTTATTCACATTAATCACTCTAAATATACAATTAAAAGTAAAAATTGTATTATAAAAATCGGAGCTTATATGTACATTAATTACTTAATTTAAATATACGAATAAAAAACAAAAAAGTCATGATATATAAAAATCGGAGCTTTTTACAAATTGATTAATTTTTGTACAATTCAAACATTAATTATTACAAATTTTCTACAAGCTAATCAATAGAGCGATACTTTTTACAATTTATTAATTTTAAACAAATTCAATTAATTAAAATTAAGTTAAATTAAGTTAATTATTATTAATTATTATCATAGCCAAGAGTTACCATTAAATTTTCAGCTGTTGTTTCGGATAATAGATCTTTCTGCTTTAAATGTTTGATTAGTCCTTTTATCGTTGTTATGCGACTAACTAATCTGATTTTGGCTTGCTGCAACGTTTTGATTTTCCTTCGCTGTTTTTCGATTGTTCGTTTCGCTACTTCCAAAGCTCTTCGAGCTTTCCTTGGCGTGGCAAGATGTGGCGTTCTAATGGCACCAACAAAACGAGGGTCATGTAAATTTTTGACAGGTGTTTGGAAACAATTACTTCTTTCAGAGTTTGGAGGTGTAGATGGACGATTCACAGTTAGGCAAGTATCAGAATTTAGTGTCTCGGTTTCATTAATAATGATTCCATCATCATGATGGATTCCCATATGAACAGTTTCATCGGTGATGATGTCATTAACACAATGGATTGTCTTGTCAACAATTTCATCACTGATTCCACCATTGCTGACGATTCCATTGTCCACAGTCATATCAATAATTTCATTGTCTATAGTTTCATCAATAATTCTATCATCCACAGTTATATGGGCAGTTCCATTGGTAATAACTCCATCATTAATGACAATTCCATCGTTGACAGTCATGTTAAAGGCAGTTCCATTATTATGATGAATTTTATCATTGATAGTTCCATTGCTGACTATTTCCTCACTGATGTTATCATTGACAGTTCCATTGTTGACTATTTCCTCACTGATATTTTTCGAATTTTTTGATTTGTTCAGACTGCTATCTAAACATTGGTGTTTCTTCCTCTTTTTACTCGTAATAGTTGGCAGAGCATTGGACTTGAGAAACGTATTCTTAGATTTGTGGATTAATTTGTCTTCTTCAAAATGATTTGAACACAGTTTAGTAGCTGTGCTTAAAACATTTTCATCAATGCCACAAAAATCCAGCCACTTCTTACGAGATTCGTCGTTTCTCGGAAATCTAATTTAGAGAAAGAATGAAATTAATATTAAATTTTTATTATCAACAAGAATCGTACTGAGAGAGAGAGAGTTATATTTAATCCCATAATTTACTGTTTATACAAAAATTACAGTATTACTTACCCATGATAAGATACCGATTTATCACGTTTACCGCATAAGACACAATATGGGCCTGGCATTTTTTCTTATGAAATATAACTTTTTAGGTGACACCGTCATTTCCTAACCCTAACCTCTCTTACAAACAATAAAACGCGCTAACGCTGTGCGCCGTTTCGCTAATTCGCGCTTGCGCATTGCGGACGGAGGTAACAATCTATCCTTCTCTTTCTTTAAAACGTGGTTCTCTCTCGCACCCAACTTGGACACAGGCTCGATCCTTCATTCCCCTTCCAGGTATATATGTTCTAAGGAGGCACGCAACAAGCGAGAATCGCTTATGTCACGCGTCCGTGTGCGCTCGGCCGATCGGTGTGTAGAAGCGAGCATCTGTCTCGCTTCCACCGAAGCTTCTAAACACGAGCCGACAACAGCGTACGATAAATGCTAAAAAGCAAGCGTTTCAAAGGTGGGTGGGCCGAGTAGCTAGAATATTAGAGATTCCGTCCGAGACCTGCTTCTTGCTACATTTTTTTCGCATTAGTTTCTAATAGTTCTAACTATTACTAATAAATAATGTCATAATTTTTTGACTAAAAAATATTCTTTTATATTTATTAAAAATATTTGCATATGTAATAGTAACTGTAAACATATTGATTAGCTATTGTTAATAGAAAAATAATTAAACAATTTTGCAACAAAATACTAGTTTAACATATGCGAATATCATAAATAAATATATTTTATAGCTAAAAAAACTTTCATAATTTTTTTCATTGTACTTGTTTGTATATATTTCTTTGATTTTGAACTGTTATAAACAAATGCGAAAAAAAGTTGCAAAGAGCACGTTTCGGACACGGAATCTCTAATATTGTACCTATTCGGCCCACTTACCTTAGAAACGCTTGCTTCTTCCCTAACAGCACATGTAGATTCTGAGAATATTCGGAGAACATCGCAAAAGTATATTGCGTACGTTCTCAGAATATTTGATATACGTACTATGACTTACTGAGTATGTACTAAGCATGTTCTAATGTCCGTCTATTTTACTTCGTAGTATATACTGACAAGATCTTATGATATATACCAAGGATATCTATAGTACGTCAACAGTATATTTTCAGCATGTTACTTGTATATCATGCATATATATTGATTAGGTTAGGTTTATTAAATTAGGATTAGGTTCATTTAATTTGTACTCTATATTTTATAAATCGATATTTATTAAGATTTGTATTATATATATATACATATAGTTT